TCCCAACAGCAGCCCACGACTGCCTAAAATATCCAGCCCACCTTCACCTCCTGGAAAATCACAAACTGAGTTCAAATAAAATTATCATCTAAAGTATTAATGCTCAATCTGAAACATATCACGTCTATAGCACTATAAAACATAAGCTCTTAATTTTAACATCCCCATATAATGGCTTGAGAAACAGTTTGACGGATTTATTATTGAGTTTGGTTTGAACCTATAGAAGGACTCGTTTCTGTTCTTTAATTAGCCAACAGTCTTTAGATTACATCACACACAGTGTGTCATCAAAACAAAACTTTTCTCATAAGACTGTGCATTTTAAAAGTGCATATCATTTATTTAATCAAGTTTCACTAGTAAATTAGCATAGAGATGAAAAAGTTCAAAGCTAGTAGACATAAAAGGTAATAAAAAATTATATTTAGATTGTATAGTGTGTTAAAGTGTTTGCTGAAAATGCGACAAAAATTCACATTTCATCAATCATTACAATAATAATTTTAAGTGTTGTGCATGTTTCATTTCAGTTAAAATACGCCATAATAAACCATATCATGGCAGCAGCACACCATGGTTATTATAGTTAACTAAAACTAAAAACATGAAAAGGAGAAGAAGAAAAAAATCTATTTCTGTTGACCGCAATAAAGTTAAATGTTATTTTACTTCAGCTAGTTGCCAAAGAAACATTTCTCATTTTCATTTAGATGTGCTAAAATTACTAATTGAAATGAAATCAATAGATATATACAGACGTTAAAAAAAAGGCAGTCAAAAATAAAATGAAAATAGAAAAACAAAAACAAATTTAAAATAGCAATAAAAAGTATCTCAATATAGCACATTGAATATTTCTGTCTCATTGCAAATTGCTTTTGTTACATTTATACATTCACATACACACGTTTGTGTTTTAATTAATTGTCTTATTCACTGTACTTTCTTGTAACTTTTAACCTGTAACTTTTTAAGGTTGCATAAACGCTTGATGGCCAGTTTGACTGTTGCATGCTCGATTTAAGTACATTTAATAAACAAACTCTGGTATGATTTTCTCTCGCCTGCTGATCAACTCCAAACTTCCCCAGAACTCGCTAGAAAGTATCGTTCATCTGACAGCATTCACTTTGAGGCCTGTCATGCTTTTCTTTTCAAATGCGCATCTGCATGAGCAATATGTCGCTGTCTACTTTTCTGTTCTTCACCAAAGGCCTGAAGGCCGCCAGACTGCTGCTGTCGCTCCGGTAGATCGACACCGAATCAAGCCTCTAAAAACACGGAAAACCCACGTTACCTCGGTTTCGTTTTAGAGAGCATGAATCTTTATCCTGCTCTATGGACATTACAGGCTCCCTCACATGACTCAAACGCACGGAAGGAACGGGAAAATGGTGTAACTTTGATTTATATCAATAGCTTCGCTATTAATATTCATGAGCTAATCCTCTGGCCACTATACCAAACGACGTCATCGACGTAATCTGTTTAATATTCATGAGACAGAGATGTCTGAGTGGGTTTGATGTAGTAATACACTTAAATGATCATGGTTTTGAGAAAGATAAAGCATATTTCATAAAATTGTTAATTTTAATGAGAAAGTTTCATATTCATAAAATTAAGTGGTCAGGCTCCAAACCAATTCTTTTCTAATTTTATAAACGATTTCAAGCTTTATTGTAATTCCATGTGTAACTGCACAAGTAAAAAGTCTATTAGAACTTATAATATTGTAAGCAGGTATGCTATTGTATAAAGTGAGGCCCTTTATTTATTTATTTTTATTTTTTACTGTTACTGTCCTCTGTTTCATTTATTAATGTTGTTGATCCTTTATTGTTTTTCTTTTTTACATTTGAATATTTCTCTTTGTACTGTTCTGATGTAAGGCATTATTAGTAAAAAAAAAACTAGGCCTAGCCCACAGCGTTCTCAGAGCTCATTAATATTAAAAAGGGCGTCCTCAAGCAGTAGGCAAGAACGTCAGCACGGCCTAATTAATATTCAATAGCTAAGCCTTCGCCATAGTATTTTCATAACTGCGCCATCAGGAAAGCTGCACCAAAGTTTGTGAGGAGTGTGTGTGTGATGTAGAAACCCCTCTACATCAAAGCACGTGTTTGTGTCTGAAGTGTTGCATTTGATGAAGCCGTGCAATGATGATGATGATGATGATGATTTGCTGATGTCATGTTATAATATTATAAAGTGCTGTCATTTTAAACGTTTTCATTTATCTTGTGTGGCTGCAACACAGGGCACAGCTGCAAAATAATGTCAAAGGCATATTTTATTTTGTTTTATTTAAAACTATTAAAGATAATTCGTTAAAATAAAAAATAAATTTAAAAACTTATTTTGAAAAAATGTCAGAAATCTATCATTTCTCTAATAAAGCCACTTTCCTTTATTTCCATTAACTTGCCTTATTTTTTACTTATTTATTTTTTGTTTGTTATTTTGCCTATTTCTGCACTATAAATTGCACTACTCTATATCTTTATATACAAAATTGTATATGTGAGTGTGCCTTTATATATATATATAAAACAGTAATATCGAATAATAAAATAATATAAATGAGTGCTGTCAATCGATTAATCCTGATTAATCGCATCCAAATAAAAGTGTTTGTTTACATAATGTGTGTGTGTGTACTGTGTATATTTTTTTTGTATAAACACACACACACATATATATATATATAGTGTTTTGAAAATATTTGTCTTTACATATATATATTTATATTCATATAATTTATATTATATATATATTTAATATATAAACAACATATTTTTCTTAAATATATACATGCATGTGTATTTATATATGCATAATAAATGTACACAGTACACACACATTATGTAAACAAAAACTTTTATTTGAGATGCTGACAGCACTAATATAAATACATGAAAACATTTTCAAGAGAAAAGAGACATTTTCAAAATTTTTATCATTCTAAATAAACAATCTTATTTGTGGCGGGGGTAACTGCTGTAAATGTATACCTTTCGGCATAAACATTACACCGTATTGCTGAACAGAAAAAAAAACTCTTCCAATAAACACATGGTACATGTATTTGGAAAGTAAAGCAGAATATTGACAAGTGTAATTTTATTTATTAAGAAATACATTCAGTTTTTAAGGCTTATAGATACATTTACTGCTGCAGTGTGATGGAAACCAAACCATCACTGCTTGAAGAGTTTACAAAGATCTCCCTTTTCCCTTCAGTTCAGACACATTCAGAACAAACAACTTCAACAGAAGAATAATAGAACAGAATTCAATTGAAAATCAAGAGAGTTTAAGCAATGAATAAAGTGACATGAAACTGGACTGATATTATTTCCTGAGCAAAATCACCTGTATTAGGTGGATGGGTAAACCTGAGTTTTTACCTTACAGAGGTCATCAGCACACGCAGATGCTAAACATTTGACACGTTTCATGACGTTGCATTTCTAAATCGTAACTTGTGGCTGAAGAAATCAGAAAAAACTGCATGGAATTACACTTGCACACACAAAGAAAACCCCGATGTGAAGTTAACAATTTAACACAACAATCAATATTGTTCTAAAACACTAAAGCATATTGAAATGTATATCAAAAACATCCATCCCGGCATCAAATCTTGCTGAAAACAAGCCCAAGCTGGTCTGGGTCTGAAGACTTTTTAGCTAGATCTTTGAAAAGACTGGAAGACCAGCTAAGACCAGTTTAAACCAGCTAAGACCTTTTCTCACCAAATATTCAGACAGTACTTTCACAAAATCCAGGGTACATCATTTATCCCCTGCAAAAAAACGTACAAGGCACAATACAATAATTCTCCTCATGTGAGAAAAGTTACAAAAGGAAACAAAAGGCTGAAATCCATCATCTTTGGTTTGCTTGAAAGTCATAAACGATTGAAAGCACGACCGTGTAACACTGTTTTTGGTTTCCTGATGTCCTTTCAGTAAGCAGAAATCAAATCTACTCCGGAATAAAGCTTTGAAAAATGACAAAACACATGCAAAAGAATCTACATTAATGCTCGGTGCAACGGCGACCACAGTCTTTGGTTTCAGGCTGTTTGCTTCGAAAAGAAAAATTCAAAACTGATTGTGTCTCTCTGATTGAAATACAGCCAGCAATCGATTTCCCCTGATTGAGAAGAATTTCAGCCGCAAGGAATGTTAATATCATATAATATAATATCTCTCTCTCTCTCTCTCTCTCTGTATATCATTTTCATGCACAATAACATCCATGTTGAACTTGAAACTCCAATGAGGGAAACTGATCACTGTGACATTTGATTTAAGGAGGTGAATCTCATAAAGCTGAAGAATCAAGAAAATATCCGGCTAATATTTTACTCCAAAAAAAAAAAAAAAAAAAATTATATACTGCAGTGTCATAATTATTTTCATGACAATTAAACAATTAATTTATGATTTACTTTTAAAAAATATAATATATTCTATACCATGACAGTTAAGCATGATATTGTTGTATGATGATTTACATTTAAAAAAAATAGCCTACTTCATATCGTGACAATTATATCAAATAATGACAATTATTTTATATCATGTCAAATAAGCAATTAATTTATGATTAGCATCAAAAAATATATTTTTCATGACAATTAAGCAATGAATTTATGATGATTTACATGAAATAATGTTCTATTTTATATCATGACAATTATTTTATATCATGACAAATAAGCTATTAATTTCTGATGTTTACATTAAAGTTATTTTTAATATAATATAATAAAGACATCATGGTAATACGAATTTGGGGGTGAATGTGCTTAACTGTCATGCAAATAACACCACAATGTAAATAATCGAAATGGTCTTTCTTTTTTTAATTGACTTTATGCACAATTCAACTTCTTGATTTTTTTTTCTGTTGATTTTGGAGTGAAATATGACATGCATTCATGAGATTTGTAATGCTGAACTTCTGCATCTCCACCTCATTTGGTCTCAGGACATCAAGGTGTCTCTGAGTTCTTTAAAGCAGCTCTTTTTTTGGGTGCTCTGGGGAGGAGAGGTTTCTGTGTAACACAGCAGGGTGGTGCCATGATGATAGGAGTAAGATGGACTGGAGACCCTCTTCACATCCTGATGGAGGCAGAAAACACCAGTAAACAACAGAGAAAGAAGAGTTTCTGAACTTAAGAGACATTTAAAAAGAGACATACGTCTCTTGTATATGGGTGAATCCCATAAATAATGTTATATTTCATCCCAAAAGCACAATGAAACAGACACACAATTATATTTTACTTAAAAATGAAGAAAACAAACTTTTTTCGTATCAGTTGTTTTTTAGATTGTGACATTAAGTTAAGTGACATTTGTTAATTTCTCATTAATGTTATGTTAAAAAAAAATTACATGCAAACTAACAAGACATTACTATTTAATAATATATTCTTATTAAAATAAATTATTTCAATAAACAGTGTCCTTTTAGTATATTTACTGTATAATTTATATAATATAATAGATATAATAGTATGTATCAATATTTGTTTTTTTTTATATTCATTTTATTATTTTATCATTATTATAATTTTTTGTTGTTTTTTACATTTTGATTTAGCGTTAATATATTTTTGTTTCAGTTTTGTTAATTGTAGCACTTCAACCTTTTTTATTATTGGTAGTTATCATTTCAATGTTTTATTATTTTTTATTATTATTTTTACTTTTTTTATAGTTTTAGCTTACAATAACAACACAGAATATTCATCATGGCAGTATTTACCACCTTTAATTTATACTCATTTATAATAATAATAATAATAAATAGTTTATAGTAAACTACTATAGTTTATTATGATAATGTCACATAACATAATATATTATATTGTATCATTTGCAATATTATTACATTTACATTTAGTAATTTAGCAGACGCTTTTATCCAAAGCGACGTACAAATGAGGACAATAGAAGCAATCAAAATCAACAAAAGAGCATATTATTAAAAATGAAAAGCATTATTTTGAGTATTTTTTTCCCTCATTCGGATGTTAGGTTATGGTTCTGTCTGACCGTTTCTTTAATAATCCTCACTGGAAGTTGTAAACGGTTTCATACCTTGTTATCCCTCTTAAAGAAGTTCCATCTCTTTCGTTTCTTCTTCTCAGTGGTGGGCTTCACTGGTCCATAGCTGTTAATGATCAGATTTGTTCCGCCCTAAAAGAGTGAAACACAATCATCAGAACATTGTTTCCACAAAAGACACACACACACACACACACACGTGTCATTTTAAACATGCCTTTGCATCTATGAATTGATCCCTCATCATGGGCATCATCACCTCCACACTCTCAGCTTGACTCTGATTGGCCAGACGGACAGCAGTGGGCGGAGTCTGTCCTCCTGCTTGTCTGATGGATTTGGTAGTGGAAGATTGCCTGTGTCATGAATAATGCAGGTCAGTCATGAAAACAATCAATTAACTGACATTTGAGAATGCATATGTAATTACTTTGATATATAGCCCAAATAATGTGCAATAATTAGCAAGAAAATATCTACTGGTAGGAAGCAGTGTTATTTTAGTATTATTTATACACGATTATAGTATTTATTTATAATTTGAATTAGCTTTTATTTTTAGAATTTCAGTTTTCATTTAATTTTAGTTTAAGTGTTAAGTGTTTTTGTAAGTTTAATTAGTTTTTTTTATTTTTCTATTTAGCTTTCATTTATTTTTATTTCAGTTTTGGTTTTGAGAATTTTATTTTGTTCAGTTGTTTTTTTTGTTTTTTTTTCAGTTAGTTGCAAAGGCAACGTTTCTAATGTTTTCAGTTTTTTTGTTTTTTTTTGTATTTCATCTAATATTTCATTCATATTTCAGCTTTGTTTCAATAACTAAAAAATGAGTTTCGTTAACTAGTTTTAGTGAACAATAACCTCAGGTGTTTATCCAGGCGATCTCTTACCTGGTTTTGCTCCTGCAGGCCAGTATGAGGATGCAGATGATAATGCAGGTTAAAGCGATGCACACGCCCACCACTATCCCCGTCATTGACCTCTGATCCAGGTGATAGAAACCATCAGAAAACACTGCAGACAGAGCAAAAAACAATATGAAGATGATGCCATGACTTGCATATTGTGTTTATCTCATCTATGTGGATTTTCACATGAATGGCATGTAAGAAAATGCATTTAAATGCAATATTTCTATTGATTTTAACATCTTCTCCCAGCTTAAAGAGGGCACTGCATGACTGGAATGCTTCTGTTATTCACCAGTGCCGTGGGCGGAGCCGTGTGCTCGGGGGGCGTGTCCGTCTGTAGCCACGGTCAGTTCTATTGCAGGTGAGAACGGCCCGTCTCCCATCTGATTGGACGCTGAGACCTTCACCAGGTACACCTGACCGGACTGAAGATTCTCCAGCAGGGCCATCGTGATGCTCCCTGACCACGAGGGTGATATTATTAACCAAAAATAAATATATACGCTTATGAATTATTTATCATAAGACTCGAAAATACTGTGGACCTTTTGGGAAAATACTGTTTGTGCTGTTTTGTAATTTTTTTTTATATCTATTCATTAACTGTGTGAATCACAAAGTCTGTGTGAAAGTAAAAAAAAAAAAAAAAAAACATACTTTGCATTAAGATTATTTAGATTTAGTCCAGAGATGCTCAAACTGCAAGCCAAAGCTGGCCCATAGAGACCATTGATTTGGCCAAATCAATTAATGAATGTATTTGCAAATACTTTGATATATAGCCCAATAACTTGCAATAATTATTAAGAAAACAGTCCATTAGTGGGCAGCAGTGTTATTTTAGTATTAGTGTTGTGAATTAGTTTTTATTTTCAGATTTCATTTTAATTTAATTTTATATTTTAATCATGTTGTGTGATGTGTTTTTGCCATTTTTATTAGTTATTAGTTTTTATATTTCTATTTAGCTTTTATTTATTTTGTTTTAATTTGAGTAATTTTAGAACTTCAACTTTTATTTAGTTAGCTGCCAAGGCAACTGAAGCATATATTTCTAATTTATCTTTTTGCTTTAACATTTTTTTGCATAGAAATGTAGAGAATACAAGTTAATTTCATTTTGAAAATGTACATTTTAATATGCAACAATATTTTTATATGCAACATTTAATTTAATGCAACGTTTACTTTTGGTCCACAGCCATTAAAATCAGCAAATATTAAATTCAGCATAACAAACATTACTATGATGTACTGTATAGATATTTATGAAATCTAATTCTAAATCTATAAAATATGAGAATTATATATTTTTGCATGACATTATAAAAAATTGCATTTACGTTTATGCTAAATATAATTTCTTTTGATTTTGAACTGAAATATGACACAGGCATGTTCTTGGCCAGTTTTGTGAGATTGGTCCAACTGGTATTTTTACTGCCTGTCTCTTTAATCTTCATGTGACGGCACAGGATCAGAGTCTTACTGCAGACCGCGGTGGTTATTTGTGACCAACAGATTCAGGGTGTCAAGGGTTAAAAGTCAAAGGTTTAGAGACTAGTCTCTTTGCAGTACCACCCAAAACCTCCTGAGCCAGCAGCACATCTCTACAGCCGCATCCGTGTGATTTATCCTGCAGAGCAGGCTGGGAATGATGTTCAGATCCAGAGAGCTGTGCGTGTAACTGAAAACAGATGACATCCGTGCGGAACGGCAGTCCTGCTCATAAACACTAATTCCATCTTTTACAGTCACCGCCCTGGATTTAGACCTAATGCACACTGAGCTGTTCACATGAGAGCCGTTTTTCGATTTCAATTCAAGTTCATTTGTACAGTGCTCTCCACAATACTGTTTCAAAGCAGCTTTACGGATTTTTTCAACTGTTTTAGTTATTTTAGTAGCTCAAGTAAAACTAAATGAAAATGAGAACTGTCCAAAAACTTTTAGGATTTTTTAAAATTCCGTTAACATTTATTTTATTTCCAGTAACAAAAATTTTTTATTTTTTTTTTTTTTAGGGTTTAAGTTTTAGTTAACTATAATGACCCTGGTTAGATTAATGTCCATATGGCAGTAATACACAGCTATAAAATAATAATAAAAAAGGATAATACAGTATTATATTATTATAAAATAATAATACAGTATATACACACACACACACACACACATATATATATATATATATATATATAAAATTATTAAAAGGCATTAATGTTATTTTTGGGAATAAAAATATTTTACATTTGACAGAAAATAATAATAATTTTTAATATTATTATTATTAATAATAATATTAAAATAACAATTAAAAATGCAGACAGAATCAGCGCTGTCCATTTTTCAGCTCTAATACAAGATCTGAAATACTAAGATGTGTGACACACATTATTTATAAGTTATTTTTGCATCGCTGAGGTATTGTTATAGTTTTTATTAATATAATGGCTTAGTTTTTATTTGATATTTTCCATTTTAAATTTAATTTTAGTTAAAGTTTTAGTAATTTCGTTGTGTATTTTTGTCATTTTTATTTATTTATTTAAATATATCTATATGGTTTTGTGTTAATTTCAGTTTTTGATATTTTAGTACAATCAAGACAAACTACATGAAAATGAAAAAAGTTGCACTGGCAACCAGCTGAAATAAAAGAAGTTAAATATATATAATTTCATTTAAAGTTTGTTTTATTTCAAGTAAAAAAAAATGAATTCATGGTTTTAGTAGACACACTCACTCACTCACTCACTCACTCACTCACACACTCACACACTCACTCACTCACTCACACACACACTCACTCACTCACTCACTCACTCACACACTCACTCACACACTCTCACTCACTCACTCACACACTCTCTCACTCACACACACACTCACTCACTCACTCACTC